TTCCTTTTGACCAAATTCAGTTGACAATTTAAAGCTTCTTCGCCGCTCGGCATAGTATACAATCCATGCGACTTGGCACTTAGGTTTTTTCACTTCTCTGGACGAAAGTCCCGCTGCACTCGGTCCGTACTGTCGCCTCGGTCTGATATTTTCGCGTACAGACCGTCTCGTGGTCGGTTAATAACCTCTTAATAWCAGACAGACATTACTAGTATTCGCGCGGATAAATCGATAAACAACACGGCACAAAATCTACCAGGCAGATACTAGCCGTTGCCAAAGACTTTGCCGGGATTCAACAGAGCACAATTAAAGAYCTCTGAAGSTCCAACATTACACTCGAACGTTTCGTCAGTTCTTGATGATGTAAAAGTTTCACAGATGGATTAATATTGATTATCAAATAATTATTGAATGTAAATATAGTGAATGTTCTTGAATGTTAACAATTAAAGAGGATGAATGATAATCCGCATAAGATTAATAAAGAACCTTGAAGGTTTTGAAGAATGGGAAAGCTAAATTAACAATCAGTTATTGCAAAAATATAATCAGGCGAATGATAGTAATTAACATGGATGTAAAAAAACAGCTTAGATATAATACAAACATATGCATTTTTATCGAAGAAAACGTTTAGAATTTATCATGAGTTTATAAATCAAAGAATGGAATACAGAAAGATGTCTTTGGCTAGTGCTTCTTTGGCCAGCTAAATCCCAATCCGCCATACTGGATGGCAAAATACTCACTGGGATGTTCAAAACAAACAAATGTCAAGCTTGACGCTACGTTCCTTTTGTTCTCAACGCTCTTACATTCTTTTGCCATCCAGTATGGCGGATTTTGTGCCATGTGACCGTTTCATGTTAAAGCTCTAAGGACTCCATCTCGTGGATAAAAATCCTTTTCCGAATCTTTCAGATGGATGTGTTTACTGTAGGAAGGGAAACAGGGCGCCTTGGATCAGGCCCCCACGGGAGGAATAGTGATCAACCTTCAAAATAGGTTCCTTGGCCCCTGAGAATCGCCGCCTGGTGTGTTTTAATAGGCAACGTATGGTTGATCGCAAGGGCGGATCCAGGGAGGGGCAAATGGGGGCTGTAGCCCCCCTCTGAGCAGAAAAAGTAAATTGATTTTTATTATTTTCAATGTTGTTTATAAAAAATAAAGCCCATTTAGACCCCTAAAACCATTTAGCCCCCCCCCTTAAAATTTCAGCTGGATCCCTTGGATCGACACTTGATGCTTTCAGTTCCTTGCAGCCGTACATTGTATGTAGATAGTTCAGAAAACGTTGTATTCGAAGTCCTCGACTGCCTAAGTTACTGATGCTAGCACTGAAGACACTTACGCATTTCAAAACCATTCAGTCAATTGATAATTAATGCCAAAAGAAAGGCTACCAGAACGATTATATTACATCCAATGCATGGACTTCTGTTACAAAGATCGCCAGTGCAACACGTGACACTGCACTCGTGGACCGATCCAAGTTTCYTGCATTCCGGCCGCGTGTCCCTGGAACAGAGATCTGATCGTGTGCACGTCTTTTTGTAAATCTTATTCCCAGCATGCTTTTGGTCGTAGGTTATTTTCAAACATTGTACACTTATACCAGTACAGAAGACCTCTCGATCACGTGATTTGCAATCGCTCCATGACTTGGTGCTTGTACAAGAGTGACAACGAATTGCTGTGACTATAAACAAGTTTTGTTTCAGAACTTTTGCGCATGTTATTTGTCTTCACTTGCGTTCAAATTATTTAACATCTAATTCTCAAAAGAAACAAATGATATTAAGACTTGGATCGCTTGAGTGCGTAACAGTACTCACCTGAACAAACCATTAACTGACTTATAAACATCACTAACAAAAGCATAGTTAGCCTTGTTGTTTTTCAGTCTTGTTTGATTTTATGCGACTTCCTCTCGAAATTTTCATCGTTATTATCCTGACCGAACTGCATGCGCCATCCAGGCTATCACTGGTTGCCATAGAAATKCGGCGAAACATTTAATTTGAGTTAAGTTCTTGAGCCTGGTTAAACCATTTGTAAATAACTTGCGAAGCATACCCTTATATTAATTAGTGCATGTTTATTAGATAAAAAAAAAAGAGAGAGAGATTCTTTCAATTAAAAGCTGAGTGAAAACTTTGCCACGTTCATATAAGAAACAGTGGAGTCGTTGTTATACAGATTCAATTTAAAAGAAAATGTTTTAATAAAAACCCTTTGTATACATAAAGRACCGTCTCTAGTTGTGTTCAGAAGTAAGCTTTTCTGTGTAGCTSTGTTTCATTTAGAAAAAAAGAAATTATTCCATGGTTTTGATGCCAATATCCAAATTTTAGTATTTCGTCATTTCGCTAGATTTCATTTACCCACAATGCACTGTMTACTGCTAACAGACCGGGGGAGACTGGGATGAGAAATGTACCCATAGTTCTTCATTGTCGTAAAAATTTCAACATGGCGCCGGCAGCAGCAGAATCAAAGAAAGAAAAAGATGTCAAAAAAGATGAATCTAAGACTAAAGATGAACCAAAAAAAGAGGAGGAAGTAGAACTGGTAGGAGGATATTATATATCCTTTTTCTCTATGTGCTTTTCTTGTGGTATCGGTAATACAGAAGACGAAAAATAAAAGATTTCGTGTTCGCATGCCGGCCGGTTTATGACTCGGCAATTTTTTGTACTTTTTACTTCAATTTTCTCTCCTAAATTTTATGTTGTATTTAACTACAGAGTGAGGAGGATAAGCAGCTTCAAGAGGAGCTCAATATGTTGGTGGAACGGCTTTCGGTAGGTGTTCTTTATTCACGAGAAAATAATATTTTGACATGTGACATTTTGCTCTTTTTTTCGAAATATTAAAAAAAAAAACTTTTTGTCCCACGTGAAAAAGCCTAATATGTCTCTTATTCATTGTGATTTAGGAGTCTGATATTAAACTTCATAAGCCTGCTCTAGAGGCCTTGAGATCACAGATWAGAGCAAGCACAAGTTCCATGACTTCTGTTCCTAAACCACTGAAGTTCTTGAGACCTCACTTTACTGGTCTTAAAGGGATTTATCATAAATGGGCTGATGGTGAAAACAAGGTACACAAGTCTCAAATTGTAGCATAGAAATAATATGTGTAGCTGTCTATCATTGGTCAGTTCAGAGGGCACAATAAATTGCATT